GTTAGAGTCAGTACGACGCGCGCTTCAGAAAATCTCAGGAAAGCGCGTGGCATAAAATTCATCGGCAAAGTTGCTGATTGGCTCGCGCCCCTCTCAGACTCTGTCTGTCTCCCTTCCCTCTGCTTGTGCTTTGTAGGCCTTTATTTTCTACAGCACGTACCCGTGGCCATGGTTTCCTTCCAGTGAGTCTTCAACGGTGCCATTGGTTGGGGATCTATTCAACTGACATATACCCCCAGGTGCGATGGTAAGCGAGCCATCCTCTTTCCCTCCCCTTGATGCGATAACCCGCCCAGGACACTCTCTGACTTCTCAAACCTCCCATTTTACGTTCCATCTTCACCGGTGCCATGGACGCGCGCGCGTACAGGATGCGGCGATACCGTCAAAAAGCCGAAGCTGGACAAGCACTACGCGATGTGCCATAGCTCAGTGAGCTGCATCGACTGCAGCACGACCTTCGCTGGGCCTGCGCAGTTCAAAAGCCATACTCAGTGCATCAGCGAGGCGGAGAAGTATCAGAAAGGGCTGTACAAGGGCCCCAAGGTGCGTTCTCTCCGCGGTTATCCCCCTCCGACCCTGCCGTTCTCATCTGCCCTCCTCTCTTCTCGTCCTCCCTCTGCCTTCTCAATGTCCCCTTGTCTCCGATGTGGCGAACAGCAAAATGACGGTGGTCCACGCGGGAACGGACAGAACGACCGCGGTTCGAACCAGAACGGCCGACAGAAAGGCTATGGGAACGCGAACGGCGGTGCTGCGGGTGGTAAGTATCAGCAGCCCTGGGGGCGTGGTGGTGGCGGAGGCTGGGGAGGCCCTCGACACGGTTATGAGGCATCTGGCGCTAACGGCACTCCCTTGGGCACTCCGGTGCGGATGTCGCCCGTCGCAGTCGCCCCCGAGTCTCCCGAGGCCAAGGCGGAGGAGAAGAAGGTTGAAGTGGAGAAGGTGGTAGAGGCCAAGCAAGAGAACGGGAAGAAGAAGGAGAAGAAGAAGGGTGATAAGAAGCGCAAGTCGATCGGTGGGGAGGATACTGCTGCTCCAGAGGTAAGTCGCGCATGGTTGCTGTGAAATAACCGTCGTGTTCTAATTGGTGGCGGGAATAGACAGAAACCGGCGACGAGCCGAAAAAGAAGAAAGCGAAGCTTGTGGACGATGCGGACGCCGTGCCGCCTCCATCACCAGCGAAAGCACCCACCGCGGACGCATCCTCGGAAAAGTCGGAAAAGAAATCGAAAAAGGATAAGAAGGCGAAGAAGGACAGCACGTCCGACGAGTCCGTTGCCTCTTCATCCACCCCTGCAGACGATGGCTCGAAGAAGGCGAAGAAGAGCAAGAAGGGAGATGTCGCTGAGGCGAATGGTGGTGCTGACGACGCCCCAGAGAGTCCGGTGAAGAAGAAGAGCAAGAAGGAGAAGAAGGAGAAGGCGACGGTGGAAGTAGACGAGGCAGAGAGCAAGGAGGGCTCATTGCAGGGCAAGTCGAAGAAGCGGAGACATGAGGAGATGGAGGGCGAGGAGGCGCACGCCACAGAGAAGAAGAGCAAGAAGGAGAAGAAGGAAAAACGGAAGAGGGGCGCGGACGAGGAGGGTGCAGTCGACGTCGCCGAGCCTCCAGCACCGGTTGTGTCAGTGGGCGGTGAAGCGGAGGGAAAGGCGAAGAGTAAAGAAAAGAAAGAGAAGAAGAAAGATAAGTCGAACAAGGCGGCGTGAGCACAACGCTCCTGTGTTTGGCATGTTGGATTCGGATCTGTCGTTATGAGTGTGATCTATATCTGTCGTATGTCGTTTTCGTATGGTGTATCTCATGCTTGTTCCATAGGCCTTATCAGGACACCTGGGAAGTACACTGGCAACTTCTAAGGTTCGGAGGCAGCGCTGAAGCGATAATGAAAATACATCAACACGGTCAAGTCCAAAGTGAGTCGTTCAAGGTTGTGTCCAGCCATGCGTAGGAAGGTGCACATCCTCAGCGCGTCGTGACATAGTAGAATCAAAGAGCTTGCGCACGTCCATCTGCAGTTCAACTTGAACTTAAGTTGCACTGTGACCTTCATCTGAACTTATCGGTTTGAAGATTGCACGTGGCAGTTGCACAGCCACTCAACCGTCTGGCACTGAGCGTTACCGCATTTGAGCATCTCTGCTTGACCTCTCCCTACATTGGTTTGCGGCAACCCGAGGTGGTATGAATTCTCTAAATACCTCTATAAGATAGCTCAGACAACCGAAGCACACATCATACTATGTCGAGCTCCTCGGAAATGACCCCCACTTCTGATACGAAGTCCAAGGTGATCACCACCTTCCTCGACCAGCCGACGTTCTCATGTGCGCGATGCACTGCGGTCGTTGTACGGGCTTCCACTAGTTCGCTTCATCATCGAGGGACCTGGTGCTTACATCATTTCTCAGGCTCTTCAAGATGAACTCATCAGCAAGGCCTTCTCTGGGCGGGACGGTCGTGGGTAGTAGGCGGCTCAATATTTCTGACGCGGTGTTACAGTTGTTGAAACTACCTGCTACCTGTGTCGGCAGTTTGATTCACTCTGCAGTGAATCTGAAGATGGGAAAGAAGGAAGATCGGCCACTCTTGTGCGTTTCTGTCTGTCCATCTTCTTCTAGTCTGAGGGAACGCTGACGATGATGTCATCGCGGCAGGACCGGGGTGCATACTGTTGCGGATGTGTTCTGTATGGGCTGCAATGACCGTATGGGATGGTACTACCACAAGGCGTCCGACAGCTCCCAGAAATATAAGGAAGGTGAGCAACCCTATTGGGATCGCTCGTTTTGAATAGGCTCTGATTGAGATCATAGGGAAGTACCTCCTCGAACGCGAGAAGCTCGTGAAGGAGAACAATTGGACACTGGATAAATAGCGCTGATGAATATTGAATGTATTTAAAGATGTACTGATTCAAGTTCCATGTTCCTGAAAGTTTACCGACCTTTCTGTGGCGGCAGCGCTGCACCTCTTGCATATACCACACAGAGCCAGGACCCAGTGCGCGTTAGCTACTGTAGTGTGTAAAGGTTATACATTGCGTTGCGTGGTTTACATAACAGTACAAAAACTCTGGAAGCAAGATCTGCATAGGATCTCAGGTATCATTCAAACCTCGTGTCTACGACCCTGTTCAGCGTAAGATATCGCATCCTTCCTTCTCCCGAAACACCACCTGTCTGCGTCTGGAGCTCTAGAGAGCACCGACAACTCAGAACGACGTGGTCGAGTCAACCTCGATCGTCGGAACGATCGACGCAATAAACTTGAGGAACACGACGAGGTAGAAGTCGACGCGCATGCCTTCGACCTCTTCGTCACCGGCGGCGGCCGCTTTATCGTCCTTGCCGTTCCCGCTCGCACGGCGGAAGGACCACTTCTTCGGCTTCGCGTCCTTGCCTGACCCCCCCTTGCGCGCGGCCTGCTGCTCCTCGATAACGCCCTGATTCATGCGCTCGATGACCTTCTTCATCACGCTTGCATGTTTGCACGGGTGCACGGATGCAGCTTGGAGACTCGTCGAGTGCGGGAACGCCTCAATGGTGACGGTCTTGAACGCATGATCGGCTGAGACGTCTTGGAATATTTGCGAGGGTGTGAGAGGGGTACCGTTCTAAAGGACATGTCAGGTGGCGATGAGGTAAGAGGGTCGAAGTGCCAAAACATACCTCGTCATATCCAAGAAGCCAGATACGAGGCGTTTGGTAGTACTTGTCATAGGTGATCATGACGTCGTACGTCCGCACTTGCAGCAAGTTGCCCTTCGCTACCTCCAGTTGGCTACCATCGCCGCCCATTGGTCAGCATCCTCCGCCACACAACCCAACTTCGCCACAGGCCACTCACCTAGCGTCGATAACCCCACTTGACGGCGCAGCCGCCTTCGGAGCAGCAGTAGCCTCGTCCTCGTCCTCCTCCAAGTCTTCCTCCATATCCGGGATCTCATCCATGTCCGGGATCTCCGCCGGCTCGCCCTTAGACCCACCGAGGCTCAGGTTGCCCATTCCCCCAGACACCTCCGCCTCGCCATCGTCAACGTCCGGGATGTCGTCGATCGTGCCGACATGTGCGGCCGAATCGTGCGTCACACTCCGCCCAGCATGCGTCTCGACCCACTCCTCCTCCTTGCCCGCCGCGCCGCCCTCTTTCGGGTCCGCAAACGACAGAAGCCGCTCCGCGTCCTCGTCGGCATCCGTGTAGGCCAGGGTGCTCGCGCGCCGCAGGCACGGTACGCCCCGCGTGAGGAGGTACTGCTTATCGGCGGGGAGGTAGTCGCGTGCCTTGGACGCGTCGCCCTTCTCCCTGCGATCGGTACGCGGTCAGGGGGTAGGTAGGCAGAAAGTAGGTGGGTACAATGATAGTAGGAGTACGCACCATGTCCAGACCGGGAACTTGTACGCCAGGAAGTCGCCTGCCGCGACGAACTCCTCTGTGATACCCACATTAGCATGTTGCAGAGACGGATAGGATGATCGCGGACGCACCTGGGGTTATCCGACCGTGTTCCTTGAACTTGCTCTCCTTTAGCACCTAGAGGGTCATTAGCGACTGTCGGTCGCGCGACGAGTCTCGGAGAAGGTGGCGTACAGGACTCAGATATTCGCGAACGGCCCAGTATTGTTGCTGATGAAGCGGCGTCAGTATAGGATTACGAAGGCTAGCCTTGGAGCACACCTGTATCGTATGCATGGCGCGAGTAGGCCGTGAACTAGAGGAGTGAAAGATGAGGGAGGAGGAGAAGACGGATTTATTTGGACGGCTGTGGCCTGGGCGGCGGTCACTTACGCTTTCAATGGTACGCCGAAAGCAATCGATCTCAGCACGTGTTCCCTTTTATGGTAATCCTCCTGAAGTATAGAACCCGCCAAGGTGTGGCCGTTGTAGCATCCCTCATTGGACAGGCAAGTTCCTAGACAACGGGTACGTTGCATCCTTGGAACCTGTCCTCTTGCTAGCAGTAGGATCCAAGCAAAGACAGACAAAAAATAGAGTAAACTAGCCCACCGCGAGGGTCGAACTCGCAGCCTTCAGATACCCGCAAAGCATAAGAGTCTGACGCTCTATCCGATTGAGCTAGGCGGGCTATCTCCACATTATATCAGCAAATAGTATAATTATGTCGTTTGCTTTCTTCATAGTTCAACCAGTAGATACCTGAGACCCAGCAAGATCATTAATTGCTTTCTGCACCTCGAGCTTCTCCATGACAGCCCTATGTAAACTAGATTTAGTTTGCCGCCCTTGCTTCCCCTTTCCCTTGTGCGATAACCCCTCGGTAGATTCAGTAGGACTACCACTGGTGCTGCTGAGCCCTTCGACGGCACTCGGAGTACTAGTGGTTGCGGACGTAAGGTGCGAAGGGACGATGATTGGCGTCGCTCGCGGAGGGGGTGGCCACTATCAGAGAAGGTTGCTCAGCGTGATTGAGTAACCGCGAAAGACGCACTTACGCCACGGCTTGGCTGATTAAAGTGGAGTGCCGCCCATGGAGGGTATTCTCTCTCTAGATGTACTAGATGATCCTCGAGAAACTTCAATCTGTCCAGCAGAGATCGCGGAGGGGAGGGGACTGTATAGCCGCTAATGAGTAAGGGCAACGAGAGCGAGAAGATGTGGAGAGCGCAACCTGACCATAGCGTACGGCAAGGTGCTTCTCGACGTTCTGCAGCCGTTCGTCCAACGCTGGATACCGCTCAGCACTAGGATAGGTTTCGACAGGTGTACTAGACACCTCATCATTGAGCTTCCCAGTCGCGCCAATGTCAGGCTGTGTGGAGGAGACAGTCTTCGTTGTTCGTCGAAGAGGACCGTCTTCGTTCTTAGCGATGTCGTACTTCATCTGAAGATCCCGATTCTGCGTCTTCGCATCCGTGCGTGCGCATGAAGAAACAGGTGATTTTGCTGAGTCACCGTTCTCGTTCAGCCGCCTTCGCTTCTCAGCGAGAGACAGGAGAAATTCATTGCGATTGGACGCGTCGTTCCTGGCACGGTTCTGCGCGAGAAAACGCGAGATGTCCTTGATGATCTGGAAGTACATGGGGGGAAGTGATACATAATTTACAACGCTCGTGGTCACCAAGATAGCTTACCGAGGTCTGCGAACGAGGCGTCGCGCAATTTGCTAGATGCACGTAATCAAGCTTGCGTTCGTCAAGTGGACGCTCTTGCACCGTCTGCGCGTCCTTGTCTAGTCTTGGCTGCCCTAGGTTCTGCATATTGATATAAGGGTACTATAGAAAGACCTGCGCATTCATAACATACGAGTAGCCCCTTCATCAGCTCTGCGAGGGCATTAGGAATTTCCTTCCTCTCCCACTCCGGATTGAGTACGACCATGTCTGCCTCGAAGCCTCTCAAGGCCTGGGAGAAACCGATGGTGGATAAAAACGACTTTATAGTCGCGTCCCAGTCTTTGTGATACTCCGGTGGCGGAGGGGACGGCGAAAGGGAGGGCGTTGGTGTCTTGATTTTCTGCTGGGGTTGTGTGGGTCCAGCCGGTGGCTGAGGAGCTACGTTCTGCTGAGGAGTCGAGTACGGATATGGGTAGCTGCTTCCGGAGGGATATTGATACGTTCCGGTGTTCCACGCGTTTGTCCATGGGTTTGAAGGATAATTGTAGTAAGGGTAGCTGCCCGCAGGAGTCTGGGAGGCCCCAGGTGCGGTGGATTGCGCATAGTACGCACTTTGAGAAGGATAAGACTGACCGCTTTGTGCGATTGGACTGCCCTGAGGTGCCACGGAGAACGTGGGGTGATGGGGGCCGCCATAGTAAGAGCGCGTCGCGGGCTGGGGCTGCACCGCAAATTGGCTAGTGTAAGGAGCGTTGGAAAAAAGTGCCGCAGCCTGTGGAGGTTGTAGTTGAGACAAAGGCGCGTCTTCATGCGAGATAGATGCGGCGGTCTGTGACGGTCCCGCTGCAGACGGAGGCGGGCCTGGGGTCATCGTGAGGGGAGAGGCCAAGTTGCCCGATTTCTGAAAAAGGAAAATGCCGTCGTGGAACAAACAGGGGGCGCGCTAGCGCTCCGATCACGGGTGCGCTTGACGTTACACCTTTTGACGCTATATGACATCCCGCTGCTCACGGAATCACCACGACGCGCGACATGGCCCTTGAAACTGCCCGCATGCCCGCGCCATCCTTCAGGCTGAGGGAAGACGAGCTGCCACCAGAACTCATACTGTCAATCGAGCGCATCCTTGACCTCCATACCACTTCGGAGTCGGACCCTCTGGACAAGCTCACAAACGACTTCAATTCAATCGGAGTACTCAACGAATACTTCCCTGATGGTGAGCGTCAGCACCTGGCTCTTCCACAGGCTGTCTCACATCTGGAGGGATGTAGAGGCCGCACTTGGACAACTCGAAGTTGTACAGGCCAAGCTGGCTCAGAACGAACGGGAGCTGCAGGCGGAGATTGACGCGTTACGGAAAGAGCTGCGCAAGGATCAGGATCCCAGCAGAATGCAGCTACTACAGGAGATGATCTCGGTGTGTAACTCAACGCAGAATCCATACTTCGCGATGTTCATTGTAGCCGAATCTTTCGCGCGTGCTGCGAGTAGGATCTACTGGGGCAAATGTCCCGCATTCGCGAGAAGGCCACAGAGTCAGAAGCTGTTGTACGGAATATCACGAAAGAGATACAGGTTCTCGATCTTGCGAAGAAGAACCTCATCCTAAGTATGACCACTCTAAAGCGGTTGCAGATGCTCGGTATGTGTAATGTCGTCCACGGTCTCTCGAAGCGCAACTCAGTATGTGGTCAAATCTGTAGTGAATGCACTTGGCCAACTTGAAGACCAGATGAAAGAGCGGAGGTACCATGAGATTGTGCAGTCACTCGCGGTAAGATGGACCATCATCTGTTGTAAGGGCTCCTGTCCTAATCAACAATTCAGGCAGTCAAGCAGATCGGCGCGTCGTTCAGACCATATACCTCTGTGCAACGTATCTCTCAGCTGTGGCGGCGCATACAAGAGATTCAGACCGAGCTCCGCTCTATGATTGACGCAGACTGGGACAAATTGTACATTTCTCTCTCTCTCTTCTATGTGTTACCTTTTGTTCATTGCATTGTAGCTATATGCAGGACCCAGCGAAACCGATCAAACCCTCGGTGGTCGCAGATGCCTGTCTAGTCTTAGATGTCCTGGGTGCAGACGTTCGCGCTCAGTTTTTGGAGCGGTATGTTGCGCTGGAGCTCAAGGAGTATCGTCGCATATTCCGTGCTACGGACGAGGCTGGACAACTTGATAATTTGTCCCGTCGATTTGCTTGGTTCAGACGGCTGCTCCATACCCACGAGACGGAGCAAGGCAGAGTATTCCCTGCGGAGTGGAAAGCTGGGTGGTTCCTGACGGCAAAGTTCATTGAGATTACCAGGTACGTTGGACGCACACAACCAGATCGACATGCCAATCGTGTCACGACAGAGACGATATGACTGCGCTGTTATCGAAGGCAGGCTCGAAGCTCACTGTCAAGCAGCTGCTCGACACCTTGGCCGAGACGATGGAATTTGAGGCATCTGTAACGAAGAAATACTCAACACCGGTGATTGATGCTCGATCACAATGTCATTTTATACGCTGACCACCCTAGCTTGCATAGCTACGTGAGATTTTGAAAGCGACTACTCCCACTTCTGCGACGCGGCTATCGAAACCCATTACTGCGGCTTTCGAGCCCCACATGGGGGTATACATCGATGCCCAAGACAAGTATGGCAATATTTCCCTCTGACTTGTAAATTCTGACCCGAGACGACCTCTTGCCAGGGTACTTTCGGACATGCTTGCCCAATACAGAGGTTCGAAATCGCGAACCTCTCTTGAAGCGGCTTCTACTTCAAGTCATGGGGATGACGAGTCCGCACCGCCCGTCCTGGTCCTCCCGTCTTCAACGGAACTGTTCTACTTCTACGCCCAGACATTGGACCAATGTGCGAAACTGTTCACAGGACAGCCACTGTACGATCTTCGCGCACTATTCAAGAAATGGCTCCGGATCTATGCTGGTTCGTTCTCAGTAAGGTTGATTGTCACTGCCCCGAACTCACGTGCGTTCTCCAGAGGAGGTGCTCGTTGCGAGTCTCAGAAGGTATATGGCATAGAGCTGTGCTAGGCCGAAGCTCAAGCTGATGCAATATCTGGTAGACCTGCCAATATCACCAGGAGATCCGTGGAAGCGCGCTACGACGCCAACGAGCTCAAAAACGCTTGCACACTCATCAACACAGCAGACTACTGTCAAACGACTGCCCTAGAGGTACATTAATCGTGGAGTCTCTCCTCGACTTATCTCACAATCGAGTGTCGCGCAGTTGGAGGAGAACATTCGCGAGAAATGCGATGAAGCCTTCAAGGAGAAGATTACGCTCCAAGAAGAACGCGATCTCTTCGTCAGGTACAAGCTCTAGGCGTGGCCCCCCATGTAGTTCTACTGACGATGGTATCACAGCGCGATCTCAGCTGCTATTGGTGTCATGCTCCGCGAGCTTGAGGCCGCATGCGACCCATTCTTCACAACACTCTCTCGCACACCATGGGCTACCGTTAAGCTCGTCAGCGGGCAGTCGTCCTATGTACAGGACCTTCTCAATGTTGTCGAACAAGTCGCCGAGACGGTAAAACCCCTTGTTGAGCAGAAGAAGTATCTCAGGAATTACTTCGATAAGGCGGCAAGGTGGGTTCTCCTTTCCGATACTACGTAAGTGTAATCATACTGATATCGCCGGATTCAGCACCGTTCTGGCTAAGTTCACGAATGCATTAGTCAAGAGCCGACCGCTTCTGGAGATCGGTGCAGAACAACTCCTCATTGACCTTCAAGCGATCAAGGCGTGTCTCTTGAAGCTCCCAGGGGAAGCATTGACAACCTCGAAGTAGGTGCTTGATGTGATGTGGCTTACAAAAATTGACTTACCGTGGTGCTTCTCCAGCTATGCCAAGAGCGTGACAAAGAGCACGACACGTCTGGAGGCTCTCTTGAAAGTCATCGTTACCCCTGTCGTACGTCCGCGAATTCTCTAGTGTACTGTACCACCCTGACCACACGCATAGGATCCTCCGGAGGGCTTCA